TAATTTCTTACTTCCAGTGGTTTAAATGGAATCTATTGAGATGTTTCTTTTTCTGGCTCTGGAAACAACTAAAATCTCCTTATATTTATAAAGTAGGCAGGAAAGGGAAAATTTTAACACTACTGAGGCAACTTTTTCAAACTTTCTACTTAAAGGTATAGTCAAGGGAACTTAAATAGCTTGAACAAAGCTCAAGAGTGTGCGGTAATGAAAATGATAATGACAGCTTCTCCTCAATTAAAATCTTTTTGTTGTGTGTGTCCTTGGTTCAGCAGTAGCAGTCATTTTTCTCAGTCTTAGTAGCTGGTGCAGTGCTGTGTTTTTGACTTTCAGCCTGGGAAAAGTGCTGATAACACTGATGTTTTTAGTTGCTGCTCAGTCATGTTTACTCTGACCAAGGACTTTCTGAGTCTCATGCTCTGCCAAGGAGGAGGGGAAGCCGGGAGGAAGCAGAGACAGGACACCTGACCCAAACTAACCAAAGAGGTATTCCATACCACAGCACATCATGCCCAGGATGTAAAACTGGGGGCAGTTACCTGGAAGGGTAAGATTGCTGCTCAGTCAGGCTGGGTATCGGTCTGTGGGTGGTGAGTGGTTGTATTCTCTTCCCTTGTTGTTTCCCTTATCATTATTATTATTGGTGGTAGCAGCAGTGGGTTTGTGTTATACCTTAGTTACTGGACTGTTCTTATCCGAACCCATGGGAGTTACATTCTTTCAATTCTCCTCCCAATCCCTCTGGTAGTGGGGGGAGGAGGAAGGGAGGAGTGAGCAAGCGGCTGCGTGGTTCTGATTTATGGCTGGGCTTAAACCAGTCAAATTTTCAGGAAAAGAATAGAAGAGAGTGGGGATGACTGGAAAGCCCAGTGCATGATCGTAACTGCTAATAAAAAGAAAGAGGTGGTCAGTCAGGTTTCCTTATCTCTGTGGGAGGTGATTGTAACTGCATCTTTAGCATAATCCTGCCACCCTTTAATTCTTAGAGCATCCCCTATTTCTGGCAAAGGAAGTATTTATTGCAACATATTTAGAAGGAAATATGGGATTTTGAATTTACCGTTATTTGTATGAACGAATCCCCATGGGACAAATACATTCCCAGCAAATCCTACCGGGGACTTTGCTTCAAACACAGCAGAAAGCACAGAACGAGCATCTTTTTCTAATTAAAAACCCGTCAGAGGTCACTCTAACTCATGAGATTTACACTTCATATTCAATTCATTAAAATAAAATTGTAGCAGAAGTTCAGAAGGGTCTATTAGGTGACTGTTGTCTTCAGCTGTATTTGACTCCCTTGCAAGGAAAGGAAAAAGGGCACAGCATTTGTGTTTTATAAGATAACGTGTCATAGCTGTGAGCAGGGGTGATCCATTGTCCTAGACTTGTGCAGGATTTATTTCACTATACTGAGAAAGCCAAGTGAAAATACTCACAGAGAATATAAACTCCGGGTGGTTTCTTTTTTCCCATTGTTTTTTTTTGTTATGTTGTTTTGTTTTAGCTGTGCTCCTGTAGTCCAAGGCCACCTCCAAGGCTTCACACTCCCTGAGTTGAATGGCCGCAGGCAGCTCATTATTATGACTTGTGCTGCTGTCTTCAGCATTTTAAAAAGTCTTTTTCTATTTCCTCAGCAATAAGAGTGTAGTCATCTCTACTGCGACTCTTAACCCTTTTAAAAAGAATTTCTGTAAAAATCATCCGTCAGGGGCCTCAGCATGGGCTGTACGTGCTCTTGCTGTGAAACAAGCACACCACCTTGATGAGTACCTGGAGAAAACTACAGTGGCTAGTACATGTTGGCAGGGTCCCTAGCCAGGGCACTGGCATGGATTCTTACCCTGGCATTATGGAGAAATGATTGAGATATACAGTATTTCAGTTGAAAGGGATCTACAATGATCATCTAGTCCAGAACTAGGAAAGTCACTTTAATTCTCTTCTTCTTTAATTCTCTCTTAATTATACTGTCTCTCTCCTTTCTGGAACATTAGCCTGTAAAATGTTTTAGATTCAGCCTCATACAGACTAACTGAAGAGGCTAATGAAGCTGTCCCTGACCTTCAGTGCTGCCCAGAGTAGTACATGTTTTAAGGTGATGGGGTGCTGTTTTGTACCCTCACCTGTATAGCCCTCTACCTCATTCACAGCACAGCATGCTAGACACTTCTTTAACTTCATATTTGAATCTCTGTAAATACTGCAGGATTTTACATAGTTCATACTGCTTTTATCCTGGGCTGCAAAACATCATTTCTGTGTGACTGGAGCAGGAGTTTGGTGTGTCTGTGTGCATGGGACATGACCATACTGCAAGCATGCTTCATTGCTAACCAGTCCCACTTGGGAATGCTGCCAAAGCATAGACATTTTAGGAAACCAAGCATGGCTGCTTTGGTGGTATTGGTCATTCAATTCAATTTCGATGTGGTCTTCTTGCCTTTTGTATTGAATGTTAGTAGTGGGATGCAGCTTAGGCCTGTGGAAACTTTGGATCTACTTTCTCCAGGTCTGCCTCTTTTTGTGGGAAGACTCTTGCTCTGAGGTAGTTGATTCATGAGTAGAGACAGATTTCACCACTTTTAATGACTGCTGTATCTTGGAGATTGATGTTGTGTCAAGGGTGGCTGAAACTTGTGTGGAGCTCTTGAGCTGTAATCACTTATTAGCTGAAATATTAAGGCAAATCATCATGGACTTCATGCTGATCTAATACACAGGGCCAAAGTTTGTAACAGAACTGGCATATATGTAGTTCCATAGTGAAAAACACATTATGAAGAGGAGTAAGGCCATAAAGGTATTTTAATCACTATGTGGTTTTCAAATGGAGTCCTTTTTCCTTGCTCTGATGTTTAGAAATTGTGGGTGAGCTGACCTGATTTGGGGTGGAGGTCAAGGAAGAATTTTTGCAGTTAGTGGGAAAAAAGCACATGGCAGGAGATAAAGTTGTGTCTCTTTGCTCACTTACTTACCAACTTTAGCACAACTGGTTACAGGAGCTGCTGTAACAGGTTAGGGCACCAATACATTGCTGATTATTCATTAGATGCTTGAAATCAGCATGTGTTTTGTAAGGCAGCAAATTAAGGACTGACTGACAATATCATGTTCATTTGTCTTTAAGAATTTGTCTAATGAAGGGCTTACAACCATGTTTAGGTTTTGTGTATAAAGTTCAGGTGAGGTGTGTAATGTATTCTGATGAATATGGATGAATCGTATAAACTGAGAGGATTTTGGGGATAAATTCAAAACATCTTTGATGCTCTTTGTCTTGAGGATGCCTGTGCTTTGGCACAGACAGGGTAGGCGGGGTAGTTTAAGCTGTGCTGAATTCCTTACTGCTGTGGCCACTGTCACTAGCAAGTGAGCTGCTTAGCGTTTCCATTGACACAGTACACAGCAAGCACTGCACTGGGGATGGACATTCAGACTCTCGTTGTTTTGGTAGAGAATGAATAACACAGTTACTTCACAGTACTGAAAAATGTAAATATTGGTGAATAAATCTGATTCTTGAGGATGAATTTTGTATTTACTTCCCTGTCTCATGACATTGAGCAGCTTTCCAGTGAAAATGCTTGTTTGAAAATACAAGGTACTTCATACCAGACCTGATAACTTAGTGTGTTTCTGAGTACCTGGAAGACTTTATGGCATGTTTAATGTTGCATCAGATCTTCTCTACCTACTGTTCATGTTTATCTGCCCGTGTTTATAATAAAATCTCAAACATCTCTTTTATTCTGGGAACTGTGTTACCATTCCCACATATAATACCACAGATAGGAGTTGATCCTTGTGTGGGGACTGTCAATATTTTTCACTGTTTGTATTTTGTCTACTTTTAAAAAATGCAGAATAGAGGAAATCTAAAAGAGTATTGGGTTTCTTGACTTCTGTGAGGAATATGAAATTATTTTCTACTCCTATACCAGAAAAAAACCCTTCTGCCTTGACCCTAATGGGCTCAGTCACTGTGGGGACTTGCATCAGTTCCATCGAGTTCAGAGATTCATCTAATTCGATTAATTCTCCTTCAGGTAAAGAAAATACAGAAAAAGTACTTAAATGGTCATGCCTTCTTTCAAACAATCACTATGCAGTAAGACTTCCTCAGCCTCTTCATTTGAAACTAAGCATCAGCAAGGTTAATTTCAGTTCTTCAGGAAATTATGGACACCCATTCCTAAGGGTGTACCAGTGGAGAAAAATAACTTTTTAACTGACATTTAAAAGTGAAGGTGACAGGATAACTCATAAGAGTTTGCATTTCCTCCTCTTCCTCCCCTCCACACCCCCTCCAGTAGAATAAAGAAACTTGGAAAAAATACTGATAGAACACAATAAAAACTGTATATTTGTTACAAGATTTTTTACATCTACATCTTCTACAACATTTTGTTTACTTCTCTGGTCCTCATATGATGGTAATTTTTTTCACATGTATGATATTTTTTTATTATGTATGTTTGTATGTCTTTTTATTAACTCATAGCTTCAGTTCTTGCTTGTGAAAATTTGAAGCATGTCTGTAGCATTTCCTGTTCTATTTATAGAATTATGAGCTTCTTGAATCTGATTGTTCTCTGAACTAACTCTGTATCAACTCTTACAGTTCTGCAATCCCTGAATTCTTGAGTTTCACTGTTTATCCTCTGTGATTTCTTCTTTAGCTTATGTAAGAATGTACGTTTTCACCAGGTTTATTTACCTCTCTATTATATATATATTTTTTTTTAAGTGAATGCAACAATCTTTTTGGTGTCCTGTGGCAAAAGATGACCAGTAGCCAAACTTAGAAGTGGGATACGCTTTACTCAGCTGTTTTGTTCTCAATTACACCATGCTCTAGAGAGAAATGGCTGTCTTTAGTATTGCATCCTAAATGTATAGGTTCTTGTCTCAGTCATGAATATGAGAGAGGAATGTATTTGAACTAACTGAATCAAAAGTTAAACTTACAGATATTTTAGCTTTTTTATTTATTGCAGGTAATTAAAGTATATAGTGAAGACAATACTAGCAGAGCTTTGGAAGTACCAAGCGATATAACAGCCAGGGATGTATGTCAGCTCTTGATACTGAAGAACCACTACATTGATGACCATAGCTGGACTCTGTTTGAACAACTTACCCACACAGGTTTAGGTAAGATTAATACCATACAATTGTATGGCAGTAAACAAGGTGTTTGGTTTTCATTTTCACATAGAAGTGTAATTGTTATAGAAAGGCTTGGAAGCTAAATGATGGAGGACTTGTGTGAATTTATTCTTTTGGGGGCTTGTTGTGTCTGTTTCTCTTTTTGTTGAAAGCATAGCTATAAAGTACATTTTGTCATAGTGCATTTGCCTCACACTACTTTTTGCTGCACATGTAAGAATGATTTGGAAGATGCTGCCCATTTAAGGTTCTCAATGCAAATTCTTCTTCGCTCTTCCTTGCTTTTCTTTGTCAGTTCTTCGTCTTTTATTGGTATTTCCTGCTTGTCTAGCAAGACAACAAAAGCTTTGCTGTTTCCAACACACCTGAGTGAAATCTCTGACATCAAAGACAGAAAGCAGTTACACGCTGCTATTATATCTGGACAATAAGACTCATTATTCAAAACCAACATTGAAGTAGGCTGTCAGTATTTTCTTTTAATGCACTCAGTTTGGCTAGATCTATTGTGAACTCTAGGACAGGACTATTTAAAAGGCAGAACAAAACCATTCTTCTAAACTTCCACTTATGGACCAGTGAGCTATGTTGAAGTGATGTTATGCTTAGTATTTTAAGTTGCTGGAAATGAAACACTGAACCCCTTCCACATCATCAGTATTCCTTCATTTTCTGCTATGCAGTTTAAAAGGTGTAATCCATGGTTTCACATTACAACCATGGTTTTGCCTTCTGGTCTCTGTACCTTTTTCAAGTGTAGAGATGTAATTTTGCAGTATAAAAACACATTAAGATAAATTAATACAAGGACAAAGGGGATGTTTGCAGAGACGTAAGAAATACAGAACACATGAAAGACTTCACTCAGCAGAAGATGAGTTTAGAAGTCCACTGCTAGGATGTGGTATGGCACTGATACTCTAGTCAATCTTACTTACTTTTACAGCACTACTTTTCAGTTCTGTATTGTGTTTGGTTTTGATAAGGAACTATATCAGAAAACTTTACTAGAAGACACCATTAAAAAAAAAAATCTGCTTTCAATTTCATGTCACTGAAAGCTTCCATATTATTATTTAACTTTGGCACTGTACTAGAGTTACCAAAGATAGTACTTCTGCAACCTCAAAAGCAGTTCCAGCTGCCAGTGCAAAGCATGGCTTGAGAAAGAGAATGTTTTGGGGCCTTCCTGCATCCTAAAACGCATAGAAAACTTCTTGGAGTCCTTGATTCTCAGAAGATACTGCACTGATACCTGGCAACTCCAGTACTGTAGATTTTTGAAAAAACACTCACCATCAACAAAAAAACAACCTTTTGCCCCCCCCCCCCCCCCCCACGCTGTGGAGATTTATATATGGCTAAAAGCTATTGTCTTTCTGTGTATTTACCTAGGGAGTCTGGACTTGTGCATTTGTTTAAAATAACTGTGCAGCTCTGACTGTATTATGTTGAACAGCCATATTTTAAAGATGAACTACAAAAGCTAAATCTGTTTTCTGCCCTTTTCTGATCCTTTATCCCATGAAGGCAGTCACAAACATTTTCCAGGTTTTTTTTTTGTTGCTTTGTAACATTTCAAAGATATTTAAAACCTTTTGAACTGAATGTATCAGTTGTAAGATGCTTCCAGCTCAGAGTAAGGTCGGAGTTAAATCTGGGTTGAGCACTGCTACAGAAGAGGAGATATAAAAACTGGATTTAGACAGCACTACTATATAAATAGCAGTAGCGTTTTCTGTATTTTATAGTGTGGCTGGTGTTTAAGTGGTGTAGCGTTTAAGTAGTGTAGCAGCTATTGAAGAAGACATTTCTGGCAAACCATGCCAGAGCAATAGTGGCTCATATACTCTTTGTCAGATAGTGCTTTCTTCAGTCTGGAGGATTTCTTGGAAGTTTTCAGTATAAAATCATTAGTGAAGTTGCTTTTCCTAAGATTATGAAATCATAAAAATTGCTTGTGTGCTTAGGGCATAATTTTAGAAAGAGATGATCTAATAATTTCTAAGATAAAACGATTTCTTAGAATCACAGAATCAACTAGGCTGGAAAAGACCTTTAGGATCATCAAGTCCAACCTCTATCCCAGGACTGCCAAGTCCACCACTAAGTCATGTCACTAAAGGCTGGTTTTTGAACACATCCAGGGATGGTGATTCGACCACTTGCCTGGTAAGGCTGTTCCAGTGCCTGATCACCCTTTTGGTAAAGAAATTTTTCCTAATATCCAGTCTAAACCTCCTCTTATAAATGGCAATTCAACATTACTAAGAGCAACATGAGATTTCTTCTATGTTTTTAATGATACTGAATAATAATAGGTTTATTTTTATGACAGTGTTAGATTGGTTTTGTTTGAAAGACTTAACATATTGATCTTGACTTGCTTTAAGTATGTTCTTAAGCACTGGATGAGTAGTGTGAACAAATATTTTTCAAATGATGATTTAGTTTTGGACTGTTTGCTGTGTTTGTTGTGTATTTTACCCATGGAAATTTGGACAGTCTTTTTCTGCTCCCAAATTAAACAAATAGATATAGAAAGGAGAAATACTGTGAGTGTGTATGTTTATGTAAATTCCAGTATTTCGGGGATTAGTAAAGTATTCATCAGTTAGTGAACATTTTCTTTAATACCTAACAGCTGTCTGAATACTTCTGAATTAGACATAATTGCATGAATCGTAGTGAGCTGAGCACAGTGTTCTGCTTTTAATCAAGACAGACATTAATTACATCACTGGAGTGTTCGCTCATTCCTGTGTGGAGGTACCTGCATGTGAAAGTTAAAAAAGAAGGAAAAAAAAATATTCCACTTAAACCAAAACATAAATCCACAGTCTGTATAGTCCTGTTTTCACAGTCCTATGTGCCTTTTAGTGTGGAGCTGTATTGTTGTACATTAAGCATCGTTGCATCCTCACTACGCTGCATGGCAAGCACTGACCAGGTGGTGTTGACTCAGGGCAAGTGGGCAGGTGAGATGGTTCCTCCACCTCCACCACCTCCCTGAGGCACTGACTGGTGTACTCCATCTGCCTGCCTTTTGGCACCCATCACAACCCACTGCTTTTGCCCTGTCACCTCGGATGCTCAGTCTTCCTACCCACCTCCAAAGTTTTGCAGTAGCCTGGGCTCTATTTCAACTATCCAAAGTACAAGAACTATTACAGTACTATAAATCTCAGTGTATTTCAGAACTGTGTGCTTCTGGTATGTTCCCTCTTTGTCCCATTGTCCCAGGCTACTGAATTTGAAGAAATTCATAGATGTTTTTCATCTTGTCTGAGATTATTAAAGGCTGCTGAGGTATGCCTGGATTTGGATGATGCTATGTCATCCCTACCATTAGGTACCTTGGTGTTTGGGTCACATAATTCCCCTCTACAGACAGGGCAAGCTGTGAAAACAGAAGTTTTCCATAGCTGTTTTCCTTTGAAAGAAAGTACTACCTTCATGCTGAAATTTTTCCTTCTCTAGTGAGAAACATTTGTGTTGACTGTAAACATTTTTCATTTTGCTTCTGCAGCTCTATTGAGCTCTATTGAGCTCTATTGACTTGCATTCTAGGATTCCTCTGTGAGTAGGCAGTAGTGGCTTGGCCAGGCACATCATTGTTATGTTTCACTGTCTTGTTTTGATTTCACTATCTGCATTCTTTTAGGTAGTCTGTGGGAAGGCTTACAAAGCATTATCTGTGCAATAGTACTGAGCAATGGCTTTTCTGGTTTTCATTTGATTTAATTCCCTCCCTGATTTGTGTGGCTAGAGAGACCATTTGAAATGCATTCTGTCATGGATTTCAATATTAAATCTTTCATGTGCTTTAGTTATTTTCCATAGTTAAGGAGACACTGTTTTGGAGAAGGTGGTCCTCACGTTAGAGGTAGTAGTAATAAAGAGATGGTAGAGAAGGAGGCAGAAACTTTGCAGTCTAGCTGGAAGAGAAAAAATGATCTAACTATACCAAAGTGTGGTTTTTTCATGGCAACGTTTAGGGATTTGATTAGAGGGCTGTGTTTTGGAGGACACTAAGTTAGTATTTCGGTTCCTTCAAGAAAGTAAGTTGAATAAAGTGTAGAATATTCTGTGATATGTCACCTTAAAGAAATACCAGCAGCCTTACCCACCCATTGGGGTGATGGCAGAATTTCTTATTTTTGTACCAAGAAGTAAGTCTTGAGGAAATGGTATTTTCTTAAATGTCACAATGCCAAGCATTCAGGAGTTTTAGATGTCATCCCAGAGGAACACTTTCTCTCTATAAAATTGAAAGGAAAAAAAACATGCTGGTTTTGAGGAAGAGCTTCAGTTATTTAGTGTCTCTCGCATCTGAAGAATGTGTTTTGCAGTAGAGCAGCATGTACAACATTTTTCAAAGTCTCACTTTCTCTATTTTGGGGGTATTTTTTGTTTTCTGGTTTTGTGTGCTTCATTTAATACACTTACAATATGTGAGTTTCATGTAGCATCCTTAATTTCTGTCTTTATGGGCTCAGCAATGAGTTAAATTCAGTGGAAGTTTTAACTTTGCCCTGTTTGATCATCAGAGTGCTTTGTCTTCTGCCAGTTATGAGCTTGATATTTTCCCACTGAGGTGAAATTTAGCTGTATAAGTGTATTGTCTCTAAATTTGCTATCTGGAAACTTCCTGAAGAAGCTTATAGATTTGTGGGCTACAATAAAGCTGTTACCCAACAGACTGGACAGTGTGGAAGCATGAAGCAGTGACTAAGATGGCAAGAGAAGATCAATAGAAAGATATTGTGGTTCTAAAGAGGTTTTAATGATTTCAAATGAGTTTCAATTTTTATTTCTTAGGACGTTGTCCACACTACACTTTATAAAAGTTAGGCTGTTTGTTTACCCAGGACCACTTACAAAAATTTACCATTTATATTAATTTAATGTTATGCTTAATTAAATTTTGGTGGTTTTTTTTTTTTTTTAATACTATTATTTTATATGTTAGGACTTTTAAAAACAATTTCTAATAAAATTTTTCTAAGTGAAGAAAATGGGATTAGAGAATTAGGACCAGAAAATTGTAAGTTGCATGGTTTTTATAATGAATTTTTAATTGCCTTTTCCTGTTGAAACCATGATCAGAATTGGATTTTAAAACCCCATAACTGGCAGAGAGACATCAGTTTAGAAGTCAGATTTGTTCTTAACCTGTAACTCGTTGGAGTGTAATTGAAATTTGGAGGTGCCAATAATAATTTAAATAAAATCTACGACTTTGTTCAATTCCATCTTATTCTCATTAGTTTGAGTCCACAACAAAATACGAGTGGGCACAAAAACTGCGTGTTCATTTGGAAGCATGTCCATTGTGTTGGTTTTTTTTTGTTTTTTTTTTTTTTTGTAATATCAATTCACAAGCTGATGAAATGTATCAAAAAAAGGGGGAGGGGGGAAATATGCAGTATTAATAATATTGTGACAAATTATGCATATATGCATAGTCTTGAGGATTTATGCTTAACTTTCTGCACTATGAGTAGTTATGTTGCATTACTCAAAGCATGCAACATGTCAACAATCACCACACATCTAGAGGAGTTCTTAAATTCTATGTCTTTCCTTTAAGTTCATTTCATATGGCTGTAAAATGGAAAAACTCACTCAAGAATCCAAATGGCAGAAGCAGTCTAAAACAGTGAGAATACCGTTTCTGTTTGCCAGTGCTGTGCTACAACTGAATTCTTTGCCTTTTCTTCCCCTTGTCCCACTGCAAAGACAAACTACACGTTAGGATTCACTTTGTAGGTTATTTTTGGTTTGGTTTTTATTTTTTTCATGGCTTACTTTTACCATTCCTTTTGCATATGCTAGTCCTACAGCTGCTAGGAAGACATTTCCAACAGAAACCACAGACAGGCTGAGTGAATGGCTGAAGTGGTCTCCTGACTGCTGCCCCATGCATCACACAGCTGCCTGGCTGCTGCAGGGAGAATGTGGATTTGGCCACGCAATAGAATAAAGCCTCCAGCTGCCCCTTTAAAAGAAACAAAGCACAACAAACATAACCCATTTGTGACCTACCTCAGAAGTTGGGCCCTACTGAGGTGGAACAGCAGTTTGGTGTAACATGGACCTAAGTAGCAGACCGTGTTCAGGTTGCTTGTTTCATTGTTTGTATTTGTTCAAATTAATATAATAATATTTTTATTACCTGACCTTTGTGTTTCCACATTCTACTCTTAGGCTCTTAAGGTGCAGGTTATGTGGGTTTTGGGTTTGTTTTAATTTGTTTGTGTTTTTTTGCAGGAAGAGCTATAGAGGACCATGAATTAGTAATGGAAGTCCAGTCAAATTGGGTAATGGAAGAAGAAAATAAACTGTATTTTAGAAAAAATTATGCCAAGTATGAATTTTTTAAAAATCCACTGGTAAGTCCTGACATTATAGCTGTGAAGTGGTGCAATTGCTGTAGTTACAAGAAAGTCTTTTCTGTTACATGTGGATAGGCAGAGTGTAAAGTTATTAATGAGTCAAAAGGAGTAACTGGGAGAGAATATATGAGATATAGGAACATACGAGTTGGCCATGTAACTGTTGTTTAGTCCCTTTGTTGCAATTGTAAAACATCCCTGTTCATACATTTAGTTTTTCGAGGGTGAGGGGACAGACATGCAGACATGGGCTTAACTTTATGGAAGTTTGCACATAGACCTGCAGCAAAATAAAGTTACTGAAATTGAATGAAGTTGCCATCAAGTGACAACAAAACAAAATGAAGCAGTGTGAGGAGGGGTATCTGTAGCAAAGATGGATTTTATTGTTAAAGTGGAAATTGAATGTTATGGGCCAGTGCTGCCCAATGGCAGCTTCTCACAGCTGCAGCTAAACGACATCTGACACAAAAGACTGTGAGCAGCCATAATCTATTACAAGTAAGTGGAAGTGAAGCCAGAGTTAGTGTATGTAAAGAATGGAAGGAGAGCAGAGACAACTTGTAACTCAAGGATGTTGCCAAAGGTTAATGTTGCTAATTCAGACTGGGGCTGATGGCAAAGGCCATGGAAGCAGTCCTGGCTCAGCTGGAGAAATTCACTATCTGGTTGCTCAAATGCATGGTGTATTTGGATCACTCCTAATACTGTCTCTTATAAAGCCAGCTTGTTTCAGATGTCAAAGGGAGAAATAGCAGAAATGTACGAGGACTTGAAAGGTGAAAAGTGGAAGGGAACTCAAATTATCTACCTGTGAAAAGGATGAAAAGGTAGATATTAAGATAACAAAAGATCCAAGAGAGCTGAGTTTTTTTTGTTTCTCTGAGCAAATCATGTACTCCCCAGCATAGAGGTATCATTGCACCAGTGAAAAATTCTAAGCTTGAGACAGTCTATGATTAGCGGAGTAGCTTTCAAAGAAGTGTGTGGTTAACCAGTGGGTGGAACCAGCTGTGGAGTGCTGCAGACATGCAGCTGTGACTAGCATAAGCACCTGTGGTTGTTCAGAGACCCTACTGTTTCTGCTGAGTCATTCTTCTGGGTACTGTGGACCCAGGTGTAGCAGGGATGCTTTATCAGAAATGAGCTGATATGAATCAACCCTGCCAGTAGTTCAGTTTTATTAAAAATAAAGGTCACTGGACATTGGATGGTCAAGGGAATATTAGCTTCAAACTTGTCCAGACCTTGAGAAAACTTCGTAAGTAATGATCAGGTTCTTGTCGGGTTCATATTTGCATGACTGTATTGAACTCCCCAGCTGCAGGTCTGTCCAAAAACTACCCCATGATCTTCCCTTGATAATGAAATTGACACTTTAAATGTGGGCTTTTTAACCACACCATATTGATATAGTCAGATGTAACTGATCTTCATACACAAAGTGGACAGTT